CGGCCGCGTGGGCTCCTCACCACCATGATCGCTTAGCCGCCTCAGGCCCGGGCCGCGCTCGACCCTCTGTTCGCCGTGCTCGTCGCTGCCGCCGCCGCCGCCATGGCGACACAAAGGGGAGGTCGCGAGCCGCGCGCTGGCGAATGCAGGCCCCGCCCCTAACGGCTGCCCGTGGCTCCGGCGCGCGCCCACACGAGGGCGGGAGCAGAGGGGATGTGGCGCCTCTGATTGGCTCTACCCTTGGCCTTCGGACGACGCCCCGCCCACCTGCCGGCGTTTCACTGGCTGGGGCCTGGGCCCCGTCGCTGGCCCGGTCCTTGCGGTCCCGCCCCGCGAAGTTTGACAGCGCCACGCCCATGGCGGCTTTTCATTGGCTCGCATCCTCCCTCTTGAGACACACCCTCAGGCTCTTTATGCATCCCTTCCAACACTTGCAAGTCTGAGCAATAGACCTTTCCCTCTAACGCTCAGCACTGGATTCAGCCCGTGGCCTCAGGGCTTTGCCCCACTGCCTGCCCTGCTGGCGCAGCGGCTCATCTGCTAATCGAAAAGTCAGCATTTAAAACCCACCAGTTTCTCTACGGAAGCAAAATGGGGCAGTCAGCTTCCCTAAAGATAACATAGGAAACCCTCAGGGGCAGTTCTACTCTGTCCTATAGGGTCGTTGTGAATCGCAACCTGTTGCTGGGAACAGCTTGGGATTGGTTGTCCCTGTCAGTTCACCGTTCCCCAAGACCACCTGCCCAGGACAAAACCTTGCCCCAAACTCACTACCGCCCAATGGATTCCCACCCGAAGCTTAGGGCAGAGTAGAATTGCTTCTGTGGGTTTCCAAGGATGTGAATCTGTAAGAAAGCAGATGCCTCATCTTCCTTCTACAGAGTGGCTTGTGGCTTTGAACCACCAACCTGGTGGTTAGGAGCCCAACCTGTGGTTCGGAGCCCAGTAGGAAGCCCACCATGCCAGAAGAGCTCCACCATCAAAACCCTAAACTTTCTGACCTTGACTTCACCCTACCTACTAGGCACTGTCCTTGGCTATGGTCCAATTACTAATTATAAGCCAAACTCCAGTCTTGGTTCCTTTCTATTAAAAACAAGTTTAACCCCAATACCCTGAACTTGTCCATGTACCTGCCATGACACCAATTCTAATCCTTCCTTGAGGCTAAAAGAGCCAAATCCAAAAAACACTTACCCTGTCTGTGATATAGGCCTTCCCAATCGGTTCTCCCACTGGTCATTATAAAATGACAGGGGGACCTCCTCTGATTTGGCGGGGTGGGGGGTGGGGTAGTCAGGGAGGGGAGCATAATTAAGATCAGCCCAAGACCCAAGGCTGATTCCTATGAAGTGGTCAGACAGACCTCCACTCTCCAATCTATGTATGGACTGACACCAACCACTCCTCCCACTGCACTCTGCTGGGTTCATGATTTGTTGCAATGGCCATGATTATGGTATTTATTTGTGAAGCAAGAGGATAAATTTGGAAGCAACAGGGATATTTGGGATACAGCAATTCAATCAGGACATTTTCCTCTGGGCATGCAGACCTAGTTGGCTGAGCCCTGCTCGGAGTCCAACCCAGGCAGGTGATACAACTCTGCTCCTCGAATGAAGCTGGCTAGCCTGTCTTCTGGTCCCCATCATCTCCTGCCACTGTGCCTCTTGCTGCTGGCCCATGCAGTCTGTCTTCCGGGTTAGGACTATCTCTATTTCAGAGCCCTGGTGCGATCCAAAAGGTTCACAGTTTGAAACCACCAGCAGCTCCTCAGGAGAAAGACAGGTCTCTCTAAGCCTGTAAGTAGTTACAGTCTCAGACACTCAAAAGGGGCAGTTCTACCCTGTCCTAGAGGGTTGCTATGAGTCAGCATCGACTCAAGAGTGGTGAGTTTGATTTTTGGATCTCTAGCCCTGTCCCTGTCCCGATCTCGCATCTCTTTCTAAAACCTCTGTCTGGGAAGCTAGTTATCTAGCAAGTTTCTTATCAACGTCAAGGCTAACTCCAATCACTCAATGTTCGGGGTCATCACTAAATGAAATGTGGCTGGGAAGGGAAATGATGCTTTGCCCACTTGGAGCTCAAAAGCTAGTGAAAGAAGAAAATAAACTAAAGATTAAAAATTATATAGACTGTTAAAACTCCAAAATCAAACTCACTGCCACTGAGTCGATTCTGACTCCCACAGAAAGTCATGGGACAGGGCCGAATTTCCTCTCCTGGGTTTTTGAGACTGTAACTCTTTAGGGGAGCCAAAAGCTTCCTTTCTCTTAATGAGTGGCTGGTGGTTTTGAACTGTTGACTTTGCAGTTAGCAGCCCAATGGGTTCCTGACATCAGGGCTATTAAGCCCTCACTTTCATGGAGTTGATCCTAACTCATAGTGACCCTCCGGGACAGAGTAGAACTGCCACTTTCGGGTTTCTGAGACTTTACATCTTTACTGGAGCGATGGCCTCATCTTTTTCTCAGGGTGGTGGGTGGGTTTGAACTGCTGGCCTGTAGCTAGCAGCTTGATGCATATTCCACTATGCCACCAGGGTTCCAGAATATCAAACTCACTGCTAACTAGCAGATGCCTAGTCAGAAGGACCTTATAGGACAGGATAGAACTTCCCTGGTGAGTTTCGGAGATAAAAATTCTTTACAGGAGTAGTAAGCTGTCTTTTTCCTGCCACCAGGGCTAAGGGTTGATAAGTGCTACAGAGAAAACGTTAAGCAGGGTTTGGGGAAAGGGTATGGTGAGGGAGGGTCCAGTTTACAGCTTTACGTCAAGTGGTCAGGAAAGTCCTCGTGGAGAAGTGACATTTGAAACAAAAACTTTAAGGAAGTGAGGAAAGAAGCCAGCCGAATATCTAGTATGATAACAGGACATGCAGAGGCAACAGCGTGTGCAGGAGTGTCCCTGGTGGGTTTGAGGAAGAGTCAGGAGACAGAGAAAAGCAGGCAAAAGCAGGAGAAAATGCAGACAGAAAGATAGCAAGGGCCAGATGGTGTAGTGGCTACACATTAGGCTGTGATCTGCAAGGTCGGCAATTGGCAACCATCAGCCACTCCACGGGAGAAAGATGAAGCTTTCTACCCTCTGCAAAGTTTCAAAAACTCCATGGGGTATTGCCACGCCAAGCCCTGAGGATGATGTCCCTGCACGGAGCTGCAAAGGTACAGAGAGTATAGGTCTGACCTTGGAAGGTAATGTCAGAAAATACCCTTTGGTGAACAAAGAGGGAGAGAGAGAGAGAGAGAGAGAGAGAGAGAGAGAGAGAGAGAGAGAGGACCTGATCGTGGCCTACCAAGTCCCGGGGGCAACATCCCTGCTCAGAGCAGCCAATGCATACAGAGGATGGTAGGCCTAGCCCCACCTGGAGACATGACTTTCCCTCACTGACCCACAGTGCTACAAGGGACAGCACTGGAGACACTGTGTGGAAAGTGCACCTGGCCTGCCCCAGGCACAGTGGGGTGAAATGTGCAGCAAGGGGAGCAAAGTAACCAAGACCCCAAGGAATCCTGAAAATAGACTTCTGACTTGGGGGACAGGGCTTGGCACCTCATCAGACTTGATCGGAAAACATACATAAGGGTCAGCAGACAGACCGGGAACTATTTTTTTTCTTTGTGTTGTTTTATTTTATTATGTTTGTTTTTGTTTAATTTTTTCTTTTCCCCTCGCCCTATGTCTACCTATATAAGATAGGCAGGATGAAGAATCCCCAATCCCAAGGAGAAAACAACAGCAGGGGGGACATGGGTGGAGAGGGGAAGTAGGGAGCCAACAAGCTCAGAGATAAGGGAACAACAAGAGCTCTAAAATTGATGGTGAGGAGGGCGTGTAATGCCGATGGGGTTTGATCAAGAGCAATGTTTCCAAGAGTACATAGTGAGAGCCGAATGGAGAGTGAGCATGATAGTGGGATAGGAGGAAAGTGAAGGGAAACAGGAAAAAAATAGGAGGCAAATCTATTCAGAGAGGCATGTACATATGTAAATATATTAATTTATAATGAAAGGGATAGAGGCCGATGTACATATATTTATATATTAAGGATTAAGATAGCAGACAGACTTTGGGCCTCTACTCAAGGCCTCCCTT